CTGTCTCATTTGGTATGTTGTTTAAGCCCAGGAATTTCTTGAATGTTTCTACAGTAACATATTACCAAGAAAGGAAAAAAGCATTCGTGTAAACCGCACCTCACCTCATGAATTACAGGCCTTGTAAAAATGATTGATTCTTTGAAATTAGACTCGAGTTCACAAAGAGTTTATCATTCTCACTTTAGAAATCTGCTTAACAAATAAACAATATCTAAAAATAAGAAAATTGAATTTTATTAAGAAAATGTTTGTGAATTTGTAAAACCGTTTCTTAAAAATAGTATAGTAAAATAGTTTATCTTTTCTACAGGTGCCTGAGTCAAAAGACCATGTTTTTTTTTTTTTTTTTTTTTTATAAATAATTCATACTAGTGTGTTATAAATAAAGAGTATTTTTAAAAATTTTATAATCAGATAACCATTTCTTTTAAATAAATACTATTTTTATAAAAGTAAGATCATCTGAAAATAACATTCATTAAAATGATTAATTTAAAATTCATTTTAAATTAAATTATGTCTCATTTACAAGAAAAATAAAAGATATATTGGGCCTTATAAAATAATGACATATTATCTTAAATGTTACAATTACAGAGCTATAAAGTGAAATAATTCTGGAAAAATTTACGTAAATAAAATGTGAATATTTTTTACTTAATGGATGACTATTAAATAGACTGAGGTGTGAAAGTTTTAAAAAGAGCTTGGTTTTATGACTACTATATGCCTACATTGACAAGTATATCATGTGTTTTACTCTATCTTATATTAAGTGTGCACAGTCTTCTCTGTAGGGAAAATGTTTATGGTGTATTAAGTAATTCCCCCTCTATTTCTTTAAATTTGGAAAATTCTGGCCGGGCATGGTGGCTCAAGCCTGTAATCCCAGTACTTTGGGAGGCCGAGGCGGGTGGATCACGAGGTCAAGAGATTGAGACCATCCTGGTCAACATGGTGAAACCCCTTCTCTACTAAAAATACAAAAAATTATCTGGGCATGGTGGCGCGTGCCTGTAATCCCAGCTACTCAGGAGGCTGAGGCAGGAGAATTGCCTGAACCCAGAAGGCGGAGGTTGCAGTGAGCCGAGATGGCGCCATTGCCCTCCAGGCTGGGTAACAAGAGGGAAACTCCGTCTCAAAAAAAAAAATAAATAAATAAATTTGGAATATTCTGATGTAAGAGAAATGTAGCACACCTAAATAGGTTAGTGTGGAAAATATGTAATTATAGTCAGAATAAAAGTCACTCTGGTCTCCTACTTTTAATTTAGAGAAAGCATATTGGTGAAGAAATTCAGTTACTGGTGATTTATGAAAATATTTAAAAGCTAGTAAGCACAGATTATGACATGTTCATGTTTCTTGACTGTATATAGAATTATAAAAATGAGTTGAAAGAATAAAATTAAAAATAAATATTATTCCGTTCATTTTTTTATAAATGGGTCACTGTAAAGTAAGCAAATTTCATTAAAGGTCTTAAATCTTTGTTGCTTAGAAAAACTACATGAAACAAAAAATTGTAAAGCCTCTATTTTTAACCATACATTTTCCTTATAAAAATATCCACACAAAATTATTCAATCAGTGTAATGTTGATGCTGTGAAGTATTATTATTCCATAATAATCAGAGGGAGAACTAGAGAGATGCCATAATTTTTTAACTGGACTTTATTTTTAATGAGAACTTTTGTTAGTACTTTTAATCAGAAAGTGAACTCTGTTTTTTATTTCCCTTGAATTTTTATCACATTGATTGGGTGGGTGGGGGCCTTTACTTCTTCACAGTAAACTTTATATTTAAGGGTTTTGTTGTTTTGAAAGTGACTTTTTAACTTATAGTGGCTTATCCATTTTAAGATCAATTTTAAGATATGTCTTGACATAAGAATGAGAGTATGTCCTTTTGTGTTATTCTTTTGATCTCTATGAACAATTCAAACATTCTTTTGAAGTAACTAAAATAATAAGGTAGGCAGTAAGAGAGTCTAGGTAAAGGTAGAAAAATAGGGGGAAAAAAAACAAAGAAAGTAAAAACAAGAATCTCAAGATGACATGGAAATAATTCATTCAAAAGAAAATTAAAGGCTGCTGGGTCAGAATCCCCATCACCTGGACCACATCTGTAACTGAAGTTTTCTGTTGACCCTCCAGGCTGAAAGGCAGCATTTGAGTGGTTTTTATTTTTATTTATTTATTTATTTATTTATTTTATTTTATTTTTTTGAGACAGAGTTTCACTCTTGTTACCCAGGCTGGAGTGCAATGGCGCGATCTTGGCTCATTGCAACCTCCACCTCCTGGGTTCAGGCAATTCTGCCTCAGCTTCCCGAGTAGCTTGGACTACAAGCATGCGCCACCATGCCCAGCTAATTTCTTGTATTTTTAGTAGAGATGGGGTTTCACCATGTTGACCAGGATGGTTTCGATCTCTTGACCTTGTGATCCACCAGCCTTGGCCTCCCAAAGTGCTGGGATTACAGGCGTGAGCCACCGCGCCCGGCCTTCATTTTTATTTTTATTTTTTTCTGTGTGTCGTTCTGCTCTCAGGAAAGGTTGGTGTTGTCTCGGCAACTTTCACAATTATGTTGCCAGCAGGACCCTCCCAGACTCTGAGAGATAAATTGTGAGCCCCTTCATTCCCCAGAAACAACAGTAATTGTGAAATGTGTTCCACAACACACATGCAGAAGTTCCTAAGGGAAGTCAGCACAGCAATTTTAGTAAAATATAGTTGAAATTTGATATGTATCAGAGATGAGCACAAGAGAATAGTTACCAAATAATGTACTGAGAGTTGGAGATGATTCCCCACAGATGACTCGTTGTATCTAGAATAGTTCTAGAAGCCCTCATTTGAAATAGCAGGCTTTGTTTGTTAAATAAAGAAATCTTCATTACATTGTCTTTTGAAAGGTAGATAGGAGAAAACTAAAATTCTACCATGGCAATTTTAAGTATTTTCTTCTAAAAGGTTTGATTTTATGGCCAAAAGATAGCTGTGAAATAGACAGCGCTATGTTTATTGAGGGTAAATCTCCAGCCTGGAGATGCCTTATAAGGTTTGCGGGCAAGCAAGTCAAAGTAGGAGTGTGTACAAGAATTACTGATTTTCAGATAGTACATGTGTGTGTGAGAGAAAGAGAGTGAGAGAATGAGAGAGAGAGAGGACAGAGAGAGAGAAGCAGAGACACTGCATGGGCAAAGGCTGGAGAAATAAAAGTAACCTAAGTGCTTATTTGCACATGTTTTATAAAGAGAAGAGGAAAAACAAGAAGAAATTAGATAAAAGTTAGTGTTTTCACCTCAATACAAAGAAGAATTCAGGACATAAAAGAATGGAAATAACTCTTCCTGCCATATCTAAAATTGCAGCTAAAAAGAGATACCGTTAGTCTTACAGCACATGGTAAGCTTCAAGACATTCAGGACTGACCTAGTTCCCAAAGAAGCATAACGGAGAAAATGTCCACAGAAAATACATGTAGCCTCATTTCTTTGAGGTCTTAAGAAATCTCTGAGAAAGGATTTCTGAAGACCCTAGGCTAATCATAATGACTTACCAAATGTGGCTGATTATCATAAGTGTCAGACTATTGCCAGCTCAAGTTGCCAGTCTGAAGTATTCTAACACTTGACGTTTAATACCTAGTCAGACTATATTATTCAGATTAATCACATTGACAAAACTGATGTTGAAGATTGCAATTTGAGGGATTCCTTATTTTATTACTTAAAGTTTTTTTATTTCGTGGTCCTGGTTTTATTCTACATTCAAGGAACATGTCAACCCTGGAGTTAATTTTACTTTCTTTGGCCTCTATTGTACTTTGAATGTGAGACATATTCATCCTCATGATCTATAATGATTCTTGGTCTGGAAATGAGTTACTATAATCAAATAGCACCCATGAAGAAATCAGGCAAACTATTTCAGAAATAAAGTTAAACTTAGAAAGTTCTCCTTATTAACTTAGTTCCTGAATTATACTTTCTTCTATGGTAATAAGTCAGGGAGGTTAGGAGTGGTGAGCCAAGCAAGACAAAAGAAAAGAGGGATAATAAATACCCTCTAATATTTCAAGCCACGGAGAAGAATATTTTTAATATATAATATATACAACTCAATGGTAATTTAAAGTATTATACAACAGTATATTTATTTTAATTATTGTATGCAATTGGCAAAATTGGACGCTCTTTAATTTTACAGCATAAGAAACTTGCATTTGAAAGACTGTCTTATATTAAAGTATATTCTGTTAGAAAGTAATAAAAAACACATAAGTGAAACATTGGAGTTAAACAGTTAACAAACACATGGACTTAGTGATGAAGGGAACTATAGTTCATGGACTGTGTTTACTGCAAATATCCTTATATGTATTATTAGAGTTTCTACAAGTTGAGATTAAAAAAAAACAGAATTAAGAAGTAGCTGGACTAAGAACATACAGGAAATGCACATATACTTATTGACTTAAGTTACTTCAAACCTTCCCATGTAGTGAGTTCAAGTCACTCTTCCAGGTTTCTCTGACACTGTATAATACATTTTATAATAACATTTACATAGGAGTTTAACTTACAAAAATGTGGTATATTTTGGTGAGTTATTCTGATGGTTTCAGATACAAATACAAATTAATAATTTAATACATGTTAGAGAAGTTTTTTTAAAGAGTGTTCTATTTCTGCCCTTTCTGTGCAAATAGCATGTAGTTTCCACTTTTAATTGTAAACTTAATTGTCTACTTTAGAAATCTGTCAAGTTCCCTGAAAGCAGGAACTGTATCTTAGATTGTATCTTTGGCACCAAATGCAAACCTGAATTCCAAGTACAGGAACTATATATTTTCATTCAAATATGTCCTACATTTTAGTTCTCTGTGTTTCTAGGAATAAACACTGACTTTTCAGCATTAATTAATACTGGATTTTAAATATCCCAAAAAAAGAGGCAGAAAGAGATAAATTAGCAAGTTTGACTTACCAGACCTCTCTTTCATGGAAAATGCTTAATTTCTTCTGTAATTCTCAATGAGATTCTCACATAAAGAGAAGTTCTGTAGTAAGGAAGTATAAGACAGTAAGAAAATAAGGAAAATATTTTCACTGCCTCTTCTCAGAAATCAGCACAAATCCTCCTTTCCCTCTATTCATAATTACTTACTCTCTCCAGTTTCAGAGATGTAGATAAAAGGCACTTTATTAATATGTAAAGGTATATGAATCATTAATTTATAAGAAGTGGTCCAAGTCATTCTGTGTGTATTTAAAGGGAAACTTGAACAAGTACATGATCTAGTAGGTATATATATATATATTCTTCATATAAACACATAGACACATTCATTATATATAACCTCTAACACATGTACACTTTAGTTATACTACTTACCAAGAAATAATTTAAAAGAATTTGTATATGTATTATAAGCGTATTAGATGAGATACCCTTTTCAGTGAAGAAATGTTACTAAACAGTGGATTAATATTATTTTCATACTATTTTTGTCAAAAATGACTGTCTCTGATGTATTATTAATTGATTTTTTATTTGAATAAATAAATGTATACATATATACATATTACTCAAACTATCATCATCTTTCATAGAGAGGAAATTCCAAAGTTTATTTTCTTGCTGTGAATTTAATTCACCTAAGTAAAATTTCTAAGATTTCATTTCAACTAAGAAGAGATTGTAACACATTTCCATTCTCCCCTATCCACCTAAAGGAAAGACAATGTGGTGGCCCACGCCTGTAATCCCAGCACTTTGGGAGGCCGAGGTGGGTGGATCACGAGGTCAAGAGATCGAGACCATCCTGGTCAACATGGTGAAACCCTGTCTCTACTAAAAATACAAAAAATCAGCTGGGCATGGTAGTGCCTGCCTGTAATCCCAGCTACTCAGGAGGCTGAGGCAGGAGAATTGCCTGAACCCAGGAGGCAGAGGTTGCGGTGAGCCAAGATTGCGCCATTGCACTCCAACCTGGGTAACAAGACAACTCTGTCTCAAAAAAAAAAAAAAAGACAATGTGTAGGCTGCTCAACAGTTGAAATAAATCATTGGTATAGCACAGTGAGATCTATAGTATCAAAGTTCACAGGTTTCTCTTCTAGAGACAAGATGAGTCAAGTAACCAATATGGGTTATCTACTCATTCATGGCACTAATAAGCTAATCATATTATTTTCTCCTTATGGTTGTGGGAAATGACATAATATATTACCTTATGTAGAATCATAGTTGCTCTTCCAGTATGAACACAAGATATCTACATTGCTTTAAAAAATATATTACCACATTTTGTTTGCTAACATTTTATTGAACCTTTTTTTGTACCCATACTCACAGGTGAAATCTTATACCTATAGAATTTATTTTCCATGCTGTTCTTGTCTAATTCAAACATACGTTAGCATTACAAAACAAGGTAATATTTGGCATTCTGTTCTCTGCAAACATTATTCAGAATGGAACAATAGGGACAAATAAAGAAATAGCTAGATTTAGAAGTGCATATTTGAAATAAAAGAAATTTACAGAGTTAATGACTTAAGCCCTCACCACAAGAATATTTTTAAAGACTAACACTTTAATTCCAAAGATATCCCAAGAAAGAAATTACCAAGAAATAAGAATATAAACATAATTCAATAAACTAAAACTCTAAGAAACAATAGTTAAGTGTAACAAAATTAAACACATGTTATTTGAAAAGCCTCAGTATATTGATACATCTTTAAGAGCACTGATACTATAATAAAAAAGGAATGGGACATAGCAGTCTTAGAAATGAACAGTAAAACATAATTTTATCTACAATAAAAACTTAAGTAATAAGAAAGTTTTCAGGAAGTTCTGTAAAAATAAATCTGAAAATTGATTGAAATACAGAACTTCCTTGACAAAAGTATAGCCTTAAACTCATTCAGAATATTTTGAAAGCACAGATAGTCCTCCATTATTAAAGACATGGGATCTTCTAGAAGAAAATCTACGCAAAACCATTCAGGAAATAGGCATAAGCAAGGACTTCATGACCAAAATACCAAAAGCATTGGCAACAAAAGCCAAAATAGATAAATGGGACCTAATTAAACTCCAGAGTTTCTGCATAGCAAGAGAAACAATTATTAGAGTGAACTGGCAACCAACAGAATGGGAAAATTTTTTTGCAATCTACCTATCCAACACAGGGCTAATATCCAGAATCTACAAAGAACTAAAACAGATTTGCAAGAAAAAAACAAACAGGTCCACTCAAAAGTGGGTAAAGGATATGAACAGACACTTTACAAAAGAAGACATACATGAGAGCAACAAACATATAGAAAAATGCTCACATCAGGTTATTAGAGAAATGCAAATCAAAATTACATTGAGATACCATCTCATGCCAGTTAGAAGGGGAATCATTAAAAAATCTGGAGACATCAGACGCTGGAGAGGATGTGGAGAAATAGGAAAACTTTTACACTGTTGGTGGGAGTGTAAACTAGTTCAACCATTGTGGAAGACAGTGTGGCAATTCCTCAAGGACCTAGAAATAGAAATTCCATTTGACCCAGCAATCCCATTACTGGGTATATATCCAAAGGATTATAATTCATTCTATTATAAGGACTCCTTCCCAGGAGAAGCCCGCAGGTCCCAACTGTGCCGGTTCTCACTCCAGGGGCCCCTGGCACACTCCTCTCATCACCTGCCGTAGCTGGGCTCTATTATCCCCATTTGACAGAAGAGCACACCAAGGCCCAGAGGCTACTGCTGCCTGGTGGCCAGCCTTCTCCTTGCCAGTTAACCCTGCTTTGTGCAGTTCTGCTGCCCAGCCATTGCTCCAGTCTGCCCCCTCGGCCCTGCCTGGAATACCCTCACTCTCTCATGCCCCAGGCAGACCCTGCTCCCTCCTCTGCCATCTCTTCCATGGAGACGCCAGAGCTTAAGCACATGGCCAGAAGTTGTTCTCTGGCGATGCCTCCAGGTGGGTGCTGTTTGGCCAGCCCAGAGTTTTAAAAATAACATTGGATTTCAAATAAAAATTCTGTTTCATGCACAAGAATGTTCATTGCAGCACTGTTTACAATAGCAAAGATTTGGAACCAACCCAAATGCCCATCAATGATAGACTGGACTGGGAAAATGTGGCACATATACACCAGGAAATACTATGCAGCCATAAAAAATGATCAGTTTGTGTCCTTTGTAGGGACATGGATGAACCTGAAAACCATCATTCTCAGCAAACTGACACAAGAACAGAAAGCCAAACACCGCATGTTCTCACTCATTGGCAAGTGTTGAACAATGAGAACATGTGGACACAGGGAGGGGAGCATCACACGCTGGGGTCTGTAGGAGGGAACTAGAGGAGGGACAGCGGGGGGTGGGGAGTAGGGGATGGATAACATGGGGAGAAATGCCAGATATAGGTGATGGGAAAGAAGGCAGCAAACCACATTGCCATGTATGTACCTATGCAACAATCTTGCATGTTCTTCATATGTACCCCAAAACCTAAAACACAATATATATATTAAAAAAAAATACATGGGATCACACTTACATGCCTGCACACACAAATACAGAGACAAACACACATACACAATCTTTACAGTTGTTAAAGGTTTATACTGTTTACTTTTCTTTCTGCTAATGCTGACATATATTTTCGTTGCATATTTTAAGTTTTGTATTATGCACTGATTAGTCTTCACTGCACGTTTTCTATGCAAACTAGGTGGAGAGTTTCTTCTTCCGACCAATACTGCATTTGCTTTGTCAGCTGCATCAAAGACAAATGCTAAAGCAATTCTTGTTAGGGTTTATACAACCTATTGTGTGAATGGTGTACAGTTAACCTAGAAAACTAGGTGAGAGCAGCTGTCTGTGCAAACATTTTTAGAAAGGACCTCTGTATTTTAAGTTACAGAGTCAAATTATAATAGGCAATAAATATATTAAATGTGCCAATGGGTTGTTATTTTTTCTAGTTCACCTTTTTACCAAATATGTAACCTTTCTATGACCTTTTTATTGTTGGCTTATTCAAACGCTATGAGTTCACTCTTTAAATCAGCAGGGTGCTGGATGAAGCTAGCTCACACTGGTTCGTGTCACTGATTGTCCACATCTCTCCCTAATTCCTAGTTCATCACATTACTTTGGTAGCCTGAAATCAGTAATAATGATGTTATCATCACCCCAGAAATTAGCAGATCCTAGATACCAGTACTTTCCTCCTCCCCCAGATACGTTATTAAACCAGCAAACCACATCTTTGAAACAATGTGAAGGGAGATGCAAACTTTCAAACTTCCCGGGAGATATTTTTTCTTACACAGCCTCCAAGATGAAGCAAGTTGCTTTGTTATCACTCCATGAATGTGAGTGGATTACTCTTGTCCGCACTTTCATTTAAGTTGCAGCCTTTGATTGTCCAGGCTTCATGAAGAAGTTATCACCCCTTGCCTCTCATCAACACAAATCCTCATTTCTTTCCTTGCATAATTATTAAATACTATTCCTCTTGGACATTCCTCTCTAATAACAAGTTACCCTCAGAACAACCAAGTCATCCACTTCAGCTAATGGCTCTGTTTTCCAATTTCCTCTTTGATTTTGACCTCTGGGGATTTCTTTTCAAAATTAACTATGTAATTTTAAGTTAATATTAATATGCTGCTACTAGCATTTTTCAGGAATTTGATAACATGAAGGTTTTTATTTTATGTAGTCCATAAAATTGCCATAAATAGTATCTTTTATCCATCCTGAAATTGTAAAAGCTTTGACAATTTTTTAAAATGTATAGAAAATAAAAAGCAATATAATAAATGAAACTCTACTGTCATTTTTATTTTAAAGTTAGAAACTCCCATATTTCATTATGGGTTTGGTACCCAAAGGCTGTTACAAATTTATTTGACCATGAAAATGACTATTCTATGCAAATTTGAAATGCATTTATCAGGCTTATTGCTTTTTTATTTATTAAATTTCACCAGCTAAACTTTGGAAAATTTCCTTTCATTTTGCATATGAAACTTTGACAGA